CTACTGAATTTTCGTGTGAAGGTTATGGAGATGTTTGGTACTAACCCCGAGAAAAGAATGGACAAAAGGATAGATTTCAGCGTTACATTGGGACAATGGCCACAATGTGTGATAGGGGACAGTACCGAAGTATTACTTACCAGATACTGAGCATTTTCCAATTCATTTCCCTAAATATCGATAAAAGAAGTGCCACCATTTGGCACATTTAGTGCATTCTACCCCGCCCTAGGGAGAGTGCCTGGCGAAGCCAGGTCGGCCCGGCGAAGCCGGGCGTTGGAACAGAAGGAGCACCCAGCGGTAGCCGGGTGATTGGTAAGAGATAATGCACGAAGAATGGAGTCCCTCTGATGTATAGAGAAAATTATGTGGCGGGCCAATACATAAGAATTTTGCGGTATATTACGTGGAGGTATGTTATGGTAGCTGGTGGTATATTGCGTACTTTCACACAGCTGACTGTGAGGAACGCCAACTAGGGGGGGAAGACCCTGGAGCGTCCAGCTCACATAGATTTATAAACATCTTATCAGATACGTGGTAACCTGCTGGATACTTCGATGCACATCCTAGTGGGTTCGAAACACATTAGTATTGCTTCATCTCCGTATTGGTGGAGAACTGTAACTGTACCGTGAGTGCAGGGTACTTTTCATTAGCTGTGCTCATTTTGAGAACTTGTATTGTTTCTATCATTTTGTGGAAGAATACCACATGTTTCTGAACCGTAAGATCCCCATTCCTCGATGCGAGCTCTAGAAACGGTCATCCTCATAATAAAAGTTTTCAGAAGGAACCACAAATGGAGCAATGGCCGCTTCTATTGTCAAATAATCAGAGATTAGGTGAATTGGCCAAACAGAAGTGTTCTGGGGACTCATATGGAATGTTTTGAACAAAAGCAAAAATATTCAAGAGTCAAGGATCCCAACATGCGAATTCGTGTCTATGCCGCAGTCGCCTACTCCCAGACTGATTCAGCCCTTCTCTCTTCTCTATTCGCTCACTCGCAATCCGGTCGGATTATGTGTGGTAAAAATCATTAGAACAAAAAACATGAGCCGCAGTACTTCATCATACCAGCGTACAACACTTCACCGGAGAACACTTTCCGTGGACGAAAGCGATGCCCCTGCATATTTAGTCGTTCATGTCTGTATGCGTCTAGAAGGTGGTAGTTCTGAAAAGCAAAAATGGAAAACATTGGGTGAAGAATGGGAGCAATCCTCAGCAAGACCCCATTAACCTTTGCTTCATCCACAAAATGTCGGCAGCCGGTGTCAGCCATCACTACCATATCCTCACTGACTGTTCTGACGAGAAATAGCGGCTCACAGAGCGGAAGTCTTACGTGTTCCAGCAACTGCGCAAAAAAAGTAATTAGAAGATCCACTGACAACGAAGGCAAGCAACCTTACCTGCGAAAGGAACTGCTTTCGTGTCGGCAAATCGTATTTAATCCATTGAGTCACTGCTGCAAAGACCTGAATAATGGATAATGAGAGTAGGAATGTCAGTGATGACATACTGATGAGAAGAAATGAGGAAGAAAACAACTAAGAGAACGACTAATAATAACAAAAAGTATGTACAAGGCAGAGTTCATGTCATACTTCGCGATAGTACCGATTCCGTCGCCTCGATCGTAGCGATCGCGAGTTTACTCCAGCAACGCTTCAAGGCTGAAAGCTGCATCTTTTCGACGCTCTTTGAAAAAGCGTCATCGAGAGGCATCATAAATACTCCCTGATTCAAATTACAACAAAGTCAGGTAAACCACACTGAGGAGGAAAGATAAAAGAACTAGTGGACTACAATAATTGCTTCATTTAGTGAACACAGCGTTACATGGATTTCAAACTTGCTCACACCATTTCACCTGTCGAAAAAAAATAAGCGCTCAGTTGCTGCACTGCATTCTACAGGAGCACGTGCTCTTGCAAAATGCACTTTACTATAACGAAAAGTATGTTCTTTCCAGATAAATTTCGAATAAACCGTGCGCTTTTCAAGGAATAATACACCCAGAGCAGCTCATTACGTGATGTGGGAAACCATCAAATAGAAACCTCCCAGTATTTACTCCGATGCAGCAAAGTTATTCCTTGGATAAAAACGAAAATTTGCCCAGCGCTGTGCATAGAGCCCCTCTAAATGACCGTTTAACATATGTGGCTTGGAACAGTGTTCGCCTATTGCACGGTTACTGAGACTTCTTCACTTTCATCCCTTGCTCAAGTTTTTTTTTTACTTTCATCCCTTGCTCAAGTTTTTTTTTACTTTCATCCTTTGCTCAAGTTTTTCTTGACCTTTTCTT